AAGCTGGAAAGAAGAGCTTAAGGAAAAATGTGGGACAAAGGTCAGTGGGGGGTGCCTGGGTGGCTCAGTTGCTTAAGTGACTGCCTTCGGCTCAGGTCATGATCCTGGAGTCCCAGGATCGAGTCCTGCATCGGGCTCCCTGCTCGGTGGAGAGCCTGCTTCTCCCTCTCCCTCTGCCTGCCTCTCTGCCTACTTGTGCTCTCTCTCTATCTCTGTCAAATAAATAAATAAAATCTTAAAAAAAAAAAAAAAAGGTCAGTGGGTATGAGTAGGTGAGCAGTAAAGGTCAAGTCTTGGGGTCTGGCAGATGACAGTGTTTCAATATGATTTCAGTTGGCATTTCCCAGATGTTGAGCATCTTTTTATATGATTATTGGCCACTCTTATGTCTTTGTGAAGTTATCTGCTGAAAATGTATCCACTTTTAAAATGATTTTTAAAAATTATTGAGTTGTAGTATTGTGGATAACCGACCTCTATGCTTTGTAGCCAAAATATAACAAGAAGACAGAGTTTGGAATAGAGGAACAATAGCTTTATTGCTTGGTTGGGCAAAGGAAGCTGCAGCAGGCTATGGCCTTCAAAACTGCAAGCCCCCCTAGAAAAAGGGGCTGGAGGCTTTATAGGGAAAAAGAGGATCTAGCCAGTTTCGACAAGAATTGCGTATGTGCTGCCAGCCTATGTAGTAGTTTTCGGGGTGGTACTGGGTTCCTGAAACAAAAGGCTAAGAACAGAAGAGGGGAGATTTGCAGAAGGGAGGAGGGAGGTTTGTGGAAGAGAGGAAAAATGATATTCAACTCAGTTTAAAATCAAGCTCCGGGAAAGCATTAGCGCAGCCATTTGATTTTTGCTCAACTTTATGCTTTAAATTTTTTTATTTTAATTTTTTTAAAGATTTCATTTATTTATTTGAGAGAGACAGAAAGAGAGCATGAGAGAGGGTGGCGGGGCAGAGGGAGAGGGAGAGAATCTCAAACATATGCCCTGCTGAGCACTGAGACCATGAGATCATGCCCTGACCAGAAACCAAGAGTGGGTCACTTAACCAACTGAGCCACCCAGGCACCCATTATGTACTTTTTAAAAAAGTTATTTATTTAAATAATCTCTATACCTAACATGGAGCTTGAACTCACCACCCGGAAATCAAGTCACATGCTCCGCCAACTGAGCCAGCCAGGTGCCCCTCAACTTTATGATTTTAAGCAGTTTCAGCAGGGGTTCTTTAAATATTCTGACTAGAAGTCCTTTTCAGATATGTGTATAAAGATCCCCCCATTTGTGATTTGCTTATTTATTTTAATATTGTCTCTTGATAAGTTTTTTATTTTTTTAAAAGATTTTATTTATTTATTTGAGAGAGAGGGAATGAGAGAGAGAGCACGAGAGGGAAGAGGGTCAGAGGGAGAAGCAGACTCCCTGCTGAGCAGGGAGCCCGATGTGGGACTCGATCCCGGACTCCAGGGTCATGACCTGAGCCGAAGGCAGTCGCTTAACCAACTGAGCCACCCAGGAGCCCCAAGTTTTTTATTTTGATAACACGTATCAATTTTTTAAAATTGCATAGTTCTCCATGACTTATATAGACCTTCTGCATGTCTCTAGAGTTTACTGTGCGCTGTGTGCTTGAACTGTCTAGGATACAAAAAGTTAAGTGTTTTTTTCTTAGCTCTATCTAAATGTAATGTTGTTCTTAAATTGTTACAAAGCCATAGTCCAGAAGAGTGGTTTAAAATGTAACTGAGTACATTCATTGTCCTTGAAATTGTTAAAAATAAGATTACTGGACTTCACCCCTACAGAATGATTTTGTTTCATAGGTTCTGTGGTACAGGCAAGTTTGAGAATCATTCATCTAGAAATCCTTAATGCTTGGCCAAACTTAGAGCTACTCCACCTACCATTTTCTCAGTCCGAAGGTAGCATAGTGTTAATAGAAATGACCTGTTGCATTTTAATTGTTGGGTGCGGTTACCACCAGTGCCTTTTACTGTCCTTTGAAATAGTTAATTAGAAGGCACTGGGCAGAAAAGCACTGGAAAAACTTTACTTAGATTCTGTTGTAATAAGGCATAACTGAATAAAATATTTCAGAACGCGAATCAATTGCATGATCTGCATGCTTTCCAGCTGTAATGTCTTGCTTTTCCTCTGCAAGAGAAAATTGCAACAAGTCTTCACAGGAAGTTTTTGTTTCTTTGTTTCTTCTTTTTTAAATAAATTGGTTCTCCTAATGATTTTGCTAATGGACCCTAACTTGACATGCAATTAAACATGAAACTTCTCATTGGGTATTTTCAACACTGCCAGGGGGAATCAGCTGCCAGTTTACTGCAATGTGGAAAACTGCATGAGATTCTGGGATTGGAATCAAAATGCTAATTTAAAAGGTCGAGTGAAGCTGAGGCTCACGTTTTTGCGTGCCTGCGCTCTCTTCAGGCAGAACAAAGACCCAGGCAGAAGAGGCAGAGGCTGAGACTCATCCCAATCTTCTCCTGAGATAATTTTGGAATCATGCCTGAAATGCCGGAGGACATGGAACAGGTAAGAGCTAGCTATTCAAGAAATGAAGCATTCTGGAGTTAGTTTCTTTAAAAAGCATCCCAGTGAATGTCTCGTAAAAACCACAAGGGTGTGTTAAAAAAAGAAAAAGAAAAAAGAAGCGGTGTCATTCATTTCTTTAAAACATGTAACTTTGGGACATGGAAGAATATACCAACTTTAATTACTGACCCCAGAAACCAGGTTCTGAAGCTCAGCTAAGTCTCATTAATTGACAAAAATAAAACGCAAAACAGAACAGCAGTTTCATTTATCAGATTAAATGCAATGATGTGTAGGTGAAGGTTCTATATAAGTAAGGATTTTATCTATAGTTATGTGCTCCAGCCTTTCTTTGTCTTAGCATGAACTGAATCCGCTAACATAACTTTAGCTCCAGGCTGCTCTCAGAATTTATAGACTTAGCAACCACAGGAACTTGGACATCGTCTGTACAGCGACGGCATGTTTGTTAGCAGAGAAACTTTCATCTTTAAAGAGAATGAATAAAAACTATACATGAACATATACCTGTAGAACTATAGTCAGGTTTTACCTGGGAGGTATCAAACCAAATTTTCAAAGCTAGGCAAGAAAACTCTTGTTCCTAACTCTGGAAAAGGCTGCTCGGAGATTGAAAAAATAGCAATTGCATATGCATGTCCTTAAATCTTCGCAGTGTACACTTAATTTTTTTTTCTTACCAGAACGATCAGATTGCATCACACGTTGCTTCTAGAAATTAACAACAACAAAAATCCCAGTTTTTCAAGAGGAGGATTAGGAGGATCTTGAATTTGGCTCTCCTACCCACCCACCCACACTCACCTTTTCTTTGTCTGCAGATTACGAATGTTTAATGCTGGGGCAGTCCTCTCAAGGACTCTCTGAATGCTAAACTGATTAACAGTAACAGTTTGGGTACAAATGAAAATCGGACAGTGAGGGACTTCAGGCTCTCTTCCCCCACCATTCCAAAGAAAGATTGTTTACTCGAATAAAGAAATGAGTTCTTGTTGGGGGGTTGGGTAGAAAGGAAATTCACAAGGCTCAGACAAAGAACTTTTTCAAAAGGCTGCTTAGTGTTTAGCTCTGAAATAAACCAAAAGGGATTATAAAAATAAGGCCTTTTAAGAAAAATCCAAGCAGCGGTCATGTCTGTGGGCGACTTTTAAGCCTTGTATCCGGCGTGTCTAGGTAAGAACACTCGGGACTGTTGGGTGCAATGCTGGCGAACCCTACATGGTCCATGGCGGGCGGGTTTCTTCCTGAGTAAATTTCACAGGCGTCCCGACTGACAGGGATTTTGCAGTTTTGAGCTGGGAGGGAAACCAGTTGCTTGCGAGGTCTTTCTCAGCTCTCAGGGCTGTTTCTGATTCATTACTTTTAAGAAGCCATGCAAGTGGTGGAGTGTCGCATTACTCTCTCCGCTTGGTTTCTTATTTAATTTGCTGTGATTGAGGAGGCCAGGCTCGCGGAGCCCGACGGGGCAGCTCCTGATGGGATTGCTTCTCAAAGGGGGTCGGATGGGGTCTGGACTACTGTTCATTCCGCTAAAATGTAAAGTCCCTGGCTCTACTACCCATAGATTCTCGTTGTGTATTTATGGGTACAGTCCGAGAATCAGTGTTTTGAAGAAGCACCAGAATAATTCCTCCCCTAGCCCCCCCCTTTTTATTTTTAACTAGTTAAAAATAGTTTGACTTATTTGGAGAATTTCACACGTACCACTTTTTAGCATCCCAGAAAGACAAATGGGTTGTTGAGGTGTTAATGACTCAGATGCCAACACTTGTATTTTTATTCTTTTGTCTTTCTAAATCTCTGGAAAAAAAAACAAAAAACAAAAAACACTCCTAATGCTGCGGAGATAGATGTCCACTCTCCTCCCTCCTCCTCGTCTTCCCCAAACCCACTCCCTGGCTTTAAAATGTTTTCTCCTAACTTTATGTATTACATGCCCAGTTGATTCTTACGCACTGCACAGTCTGGTGACTTGAAACTCTAGGCGATCCAATTCAATCCTTCCCTAGTCTAGAACAAAGACAAAGAGAGAAAAGAGTACATAAAATAAACAACTCATCCCCAAACAAAACTTGTATTCTTTGAGTAAGGCCGAGGCCTTTGTTTTGTGTATCCCTTTAAGAGTTGGCGAGTGGGCTGGGAGCGTACTGAACGCGCCCGCCCCCTTTCTGGGGCTACGGCTGAGCGTGGCCAATCAACGGGCGAGGCCTTGGCGGCGGAAGCCGGAAGCGGAGAGCGGGGGCCGGCCCGGACCTAGGGAGGCGGGCCGAGGGCGACGGAGCTGCGGCCCGTGGCGATCCTGGGCTGGAGGAAGTGGCGGTCGCTGCGGCGGCGGCGCGGAGACGGCGGGCATGGTGGGGCGGGAGAATGAGCTCTCCATCCACTTTGTTCCCGGGAGCTGCCGGCTGGTGGAGGTGAGGGAGTCGGCCCGGGGGTCTCGTAGGGGGAACCGGGAATGCAGAGCGGGACGAGCCAGGTCGCGGGGGCTCGAGTGATATACCCTGCGCATCCTGGAGGAATCCGAGCCCCCGGCCCTGAGTCGCCCCAGCACCTCCTTTCCAGCTCTGGGAGGAAGAGGGCGGCGCCACCGAGTTTGTTTACTTTTGTGCACGCCCGTCAGTGTTTACTCTTCCAGTCCTGCGGCAGGAAACGAGTAGGTCTGGTTTTACTCTGGTGTCTTCTGTCACCCCTCCCGGGAACGAAGAGGGGCTTTTCAGAGCTCTTTCGGTTTTGTTTTATCTCTCTGAATTTCGTTTTCATTCTTTGTTCGGATCTTTCGATATTACCAGTTCTCATCTGAGAAAGAAGGGGAAAGTGTTTTTTGCTTTTTTTTAATAGGAGATTTGGAGATGACAACTTATTGAACTCTTAGTGCAAGGCACTATGTTATCCACTTTACATGCATTATTTAATCGTCATAACTATAAGATACTGTTTTTGCTCCATTTTACAGATGAGAAAATTGAGGTTTACGGGATGAGTCCTTCGCCCAAGTTCATTCGGTAAACTTGGAGCCGAGATTCAGATACCAATCTCTTTCACTTTCTTAGGCTTTGAACCGCTCTTGAGGTTACATAAAGGAAGATTGTTACTGTGGGAGAGCTATCCCAGGCATCCCTCTCCTCCATTCTTTCTTGTATTTCATTGCAGGCTTCCCAGCAATCCACAGAATATATCTAGCAATGGGCAAAAGAAAAATGTTAATGCCTAGACGGATATGTCTTATGGAAATAAGAGAAGATACGGGAGATGGCTGTTTCTGATATTGGAGAATTTTTATGCTTCCAAGAGATAGTGTATTTAGTATTTCTAATCACTTTGGGGTTGGGGGGGTAAAGTTAGGCTAGATGGACTATTTAAACTTCTGTATTGTTCCTATGTACCCCCAAAAGTACTGAATGCATAATGTTACATGTTTACATTTATATGCATACGTGTGTGTAAAGCTTAATCTTTTTTCACGGTAGGATTTCAGTAAACTAATGAAAAGATTTCCTTCACTAAAAACAATAACCTTGTATCTTTATTTTTTTAAGATTTTTTTTTTTATTATTTTAAAATAATCTCTACACCCAACATGGGGCTCAAACTCATAGCCCTGAGATCAAGGGTTGCATACTGTACAGACTGAGCCGGCCAGGGGTCCCCACCCTAAATCTTGACACATATTTGCTGCTCTCTCAAAATGTGTAGAATTAAAATTCACTTGTGAGAATGAGGAATGCCTAACAGCTTACATTGGAGAAGGAGACTGTAGTGGTACCTGTTAAGACTGTCTTGTAGGGTAGAAATAGAGTGACACTAGCAATTAGACCAGTGTCACGTAGGTAGTCACGGGATCTTGAGTTTCTTAGAGTCCAGTAATGTCTACTGAGAGATCTGCCTCCAAGGGAATGTATGAGGATCAATTAAAGAAATGAATAGGAAACGCCAAATTTAAGAGGTTTTAAAAATAGCAAAGTATTATATTTACCGCTGAAATTTAAGAAGATCTCTGTTTAGATGTTAGTGATGTCTCATTCTTTTTCTAGGACATTCTGAGTAGAAGTTAATGCAAGTGTGCGAAAGTAGAAATCACTGTCCCAGAGTAGTGTTTGACCATTTTGAAAGAGCCATTTATCCCATTACCTATAGTTTGGTGTCATTTGATTAGGTAGCATAATAAAAGTGGTACCTCTACATTTATTTATATGTATTTAATTTTTCAGGAATTCTTTTGGTGTATATAAATCTGGTCACTTGTAGGTCTGTGCTTCTAAGAGTTTATATAGTTAGAGGCAAATACGTTCAGAGTAACTTAAAGTGATACTTGATACTATACATATAATAAAAATTAAGAAAGTAGACTTTTCAGGGGGGCCTGGGTGGCTCACATGGTTAAGCATCTGCCTTCGGCTCAGGTTGTGATCCCAGGGTGCTGGCTCCCTGCTCAGTGGGGCTTCTTCCTCTCCCTCTACTGTTCCCCCTGCTTGTGCTCTCTCACTCTCTCTGTCAAATAAATAAGTAAGTCTTAAAAAAAAAAAAAGACAAAGACTTCTCAGGCAGACAGTATTTTCAACTCTTTATTGTGGTTTGGGTTAACTACAGCTCATTCTGAGTTCCTTGAAGTGCATGGATATTCCTGAGTTTTGCAGGACTAAAATATATTTTATTTTAAAGTAATTTTTTAGAGGAATATTTTTCCATTTAAAAATAAAAAAATCAAAACTGTGCTTTTTAAAAGCTTCAGGTGGATTTCTGTGTATATATATAAAGTCAAAAATAGATATTTTTGTTTGGCATCTTTTAATCTCAGAGTGAGGCATATTTTATTTGCCAACCACCAGTAAACTTGCAGTCCAAATGACAAAAATCTTGTCTTGGCTCTTATAGTGGTGACAGAAGGTGCTCATTCAGTCTCTAGAGAGAACTCAGTGAAAAGAGGAAAAATTACTTTTAAGTAAATGAAGTTCCTTTCACTTTTTTTCAGTCCCCTCTGTGTTAAGGATAATATGAAAACCAATGTTAGAATTGTAGAACTGTAAAGCTGGAAGAGCCTTAGTCATCTTGTCCACATACCTCATTTTACTAATGAGGAATTCGATCAATAGAGATTTCAGTAACTTCTCAATACCACATTTTGTGGCAGAATAGTTAAAATTTAATCATTATGAAATCAAATAGAAGGTCAAAGGATTAAGACAAAACTCAGTTATGTATTTGGCTGGACCACAGATGCTAGAAACAAGTTCTGGGCCCAACCTTTTCCATTTCCTGTGGGTAAAGCCTTTAACATCTCTGGGCTTCAGATTCCTCAGTTTGGAAACAGTATTTGCCCTGCATGTCTAACAAGGCTATTCTTAATGACCAGAAGGTATGATGGAGTCTTACATAACACTCGATAGTTTTCTAATATAAGATTGTGCAGTATCATTTCCGTTTTAGGAAATGCTTGCACTTCAGATCTCTGCTCATTTAATAAAGAAAATTCTTGAGCATTGACATCTGACCACTGGGTACCATGGACTGTTTCCTCTTCTAGGGACCTTACAAATTACTCCAGGCTATGAGGACATAAGATTGTATTTTTTCCATGCAACCTCATCCTTTTTTTAAAGTTAAGTGGATTAAATTCCCTAAGAGCCTTGCTGTCCTTGTAATTTAATACTGTATTTCATCAAGTCTAAGATGTACTTGATTATAAGATCGTCTGAGCTCTGATTTTAAGATGCACTAAAAAGCAAAAGACAGTGCCAGACTATGAGACAGTAATAAGATGCATCTATTTCATTCATTTAACAAGGATGTTAAAATGAGGAAAAAGTGTGCTTCACAGAATCAGTGAAGTACTCAGATCTGAATCCACTGTTCAGTAACCTTTGTGGAATACATATACTTGTTCTTTGACATTTCTTTTTTCCTTTTCTTTTAAAAGATTTTATTTATTTGACAGAGAGAGAGAGAGCAAGAGCAGGAACACAAGCAGGGGGAGTGGGAGAGGAAGAAGCAGGCTTCTCATGGAGCAGGGAGTCCGATGTGGGGCTCGATCCCAGGACCCTGGGATCATGACCTGAGCCGAAGGCAGACGCTTAACGACTGAGCCACCCAGGCACCCCTCTTTTTTCCTTTTTTAATGGGAAAAGAGGGAAGGAAAGATGTTGCTTCTAGAACGGTAGATGACAATTTTTTGGCTTCTTTGAATAAGGTAAATTTTCTTTAGGAAAACCTTGGATTTTTCCTGGAGTTCAAGATTGTACTTCTCAAAGGGCATTTCCCAAATCACCATCTTCAGCACATTCCTGGGAACTTGTTAGAAATGCAAATTATCAGTACTTATCCCAGATGTACTGAATCTGAAAGTCTTTTGCATGATTCTTATAAAAGTGAAGCCTAAGAACCACCAACTAAGAACTGTTATATATTCCTTTGCTTCTTTAATGTGAAGTAATAAAAAGTGAGAAACTCAGAAGAAACCAAATCATAGCTCTTTTATAATAATTTTCCTAGGGATCTTAATGGTATTTATCCTGTGTAAATTGTTTTCTGATTGCGTCTACTAGGCTTGGCATGTTTTCTCTTCTTTACAAATCAGTCTTTGTAGAGCGGTTTTCTTGCCAAAATTCAAAGAAAATATTTTGCTGGCTGAAATCCTTGTTTTCATAGATCAGTTGGCTTAGAGCCAAGTTTTACAACAGAGAGCCTAGACAATTTTTACTTCAACTTTTAAAATGTTTGGAATTGGTTGAACTAAGGAAAAAATATCTTTAAGAGTTAACCATTATATGTTTTTTTTTTTTTTTTTTTTAAGATTTTATTTGAGAGAGAGAAAGCCTGAGAGAGCACGTGTGCAATCGGGGAGGGAGAGGGACAATCCAACCCCATGGGGAACCCAACCTGGGGCTTGATTGCACCCCCCCTGAGATCATGACCTGATCAGAAACCAAGAGTTGGATGCCTAACCGACTGAGCCACCCAGATGCCCCCCTTTATACTGTTTCTATCAGCCCTTTCATTTCAGATTTTTACTATGGTAGGAGTACCTAATATGGGTGGCTTTTTTTTTTTTTAAGATTTATTAATTTCAGAGAAAGAGTATGAGCATGCACATGCATGCAAGCTGGAAGGGCAGAGGGAGCAGGAGAGAATATATCAAGCAGACTCTCTGCGGAGTGTGGAGCCCAACACTGGGCTCAGTCTCATGACTCTGAGATCAGGACCTGAGCTGAAACCAAGAGTTGGAGGCCTAACTGTGGTGGCCTTCTTTAAAAAAAAAAAAAAAAATTGCATAGTGTTAAATTTTTCTGTTGAACTAATGACTAACAAAGAAAGATCTTTAGTTATTGTATGCTTGTTTAAAGTTTTTTTTTTTTTTTTAAGATTTTATTTATTTAAGAGAGAGGGAGCAAGAGAGAGCATGAGCTGGAGAAGAGGCAGAGGGAGAGGGAGAAGCAGACTCCCCTCTGAGCCGGGAGCCTGATGTGGGACTCAGTCCCAGGACCCTGGGATCATGACCTGAGCTGAAGGCAGATGCTTAATGAACTGAGCCACCCAGACGTCCTGCTTGTTTAAAGTTTTTGACAGCTCAGAATAGGTGATTTATAACAGCACTTGAAATAAAAAGACCCCAAATTGAAAAAATGTATAAAAACTTTTTTTAAAGATTTTATTTATTTTTTTGACAGAAACACAGCGAGAGAGAGAACACAAGCAGGGGGAGTGGGAGAGGTAGAACAGGCTTCCCGAGGAGCGGGGAGCCCCATGCGGGGCTCAGTCCCAGGACCCTGGGATCATGACCTGAGCCAAAGGCAGACGCTTAACGACTGAGCCACCCAGGCTCCCCTAATAAAATTTTTTTTTTTAAAGATTTTATTTATTTTTTGACAGAGACACAGCGAGAGAGGGAACACAAGCAGGGGGAGTGGGAGAGGGAGAAGCAGGTTTCCTGCTGAGCAGGGAGCCCGATGTGGGGCTCGATCCCAGGACCCTGGGATCATGACCTGAGCCGAAGGCAGACGCTTAACGGCTGAGCCACCCAGGCGCCCCTAAAAAAACTTTTTTTTAAGTAGGCTTCACACCCAACTTGGGCTTGAACTCATGACTCTGAGATCAAGAGTCGCATGCTGTACCGACTCAGCCAGCAAAATGCCCCTAATAAAACTTTTTATTGGTGGTTTTTAAAATAGTAAATGTTGATTTTATTCAAGAGTTTGGGAAATTTGGTATTACCCATCTTGGGAAGAAGGGAAGTTTTTAAACAACTTTTTCTAAATAGTAGTTCCTTTTAATTTCATTGTGTAAGGAATTTTTTCTTTTTCATATAAGAACACAGATTAGTTTAAAATATTTTAGTTTCTTTTTTCTTTTTTTTTCCTTCTGTGTTAGGGTCCCCCCCACCGTGTTAGTTTTAACTGGTCTGTTAAGGTAAATTTAGAGTTAACTCAGGAACATTTACCAGTCAACTTGGAATATTATTACTACAAGGACCACATTTATTTTTCCTCCGCATAAATTCCTGTGAAATGAGAATTCTGTAACTCAGACCTATCAGAATATGATAAATCAATGAGATTTGAAAGAAAACTTGGGATTACAAACTGAAAACCAAAATTCAGTTTGTGAAATTATTGGTGGAATACAGCCAGATAATTAATCAGGGCACAAAAAATTAGTAAGCTTCGGGGCGCCTGGGTGGCTCAGTTGTTAAGCGTCTGCCTTCAGCTCAGGTCATGATCCCAGGGTTCTGGGATCGAGCCCCGCATCTTGGGCTCCCTGCTCAGCGGGAAGCCTGCTTCTCCCTCTCCCACTCCCCCTGCTTGTGTTCCCTCTCTCATTGTCTCTCTCTCTCTCTCTCTCTGTCAAATAAATAAAACCTTTAAAAAAAAAAATTAGTAAGCTTCAGACTAATTGTGTGTGTTTATAAACTGGAGAACGTAATTAAAATTGCTCTTTATTCATTTGGACATCATTGATCATTAAAATAAGATTTTCCCTTATTAACAGGAAATCAAGGCACCTGGCTAGCTCATTCAGTGGAGCATGTGACTCTTGATCTCGGGGTTGTAAATTCGAGCTCCATGTTAGGTGTAGAGTTTACTTAAAATTAAATATTTATTTAAAAAAATAGGAAAATTCAAATCTATTTGACTAGGTAGATATATCCTTAAAGTATCATCTTAGGTTCTTAGGTTCTTCTTAATGGATAGGATTAATAAAACCTTTTTTTTTTTTTAAGATTTTATTTTTATTTATTTGAAAGAGAGCACAAGCCGGGGGAGCAGCAGGCAGAGGGAGAGGGAGAAGCAGACTCCCCGCTGAGCAAGGAGCCCGATGTGGGGCTCGATCCCAGGACCCTGGGATCATGACCTGAGCCGAAGGCAGTTGCTTAACCATCTGAGCCACCCAGGCGCCCCAATAAAACCTTTTCTTAACTGATATAATTACTGATGCAGCTTGGTCTTTGTTCTAACTTAAGAATTGTCTAATAGATATGGGACATGAAGCAAACTACTTAGACTCGAAGTAGTTAGTAAACAATGATGGTGACTAATTTTATAGAGAGAATGTTTTCAAAATAAGTAATCCTTTTTTCTCCCACTTTACCTTTTAGGAGGAAGTTAATGTCCCCAATAGGCGGGTTCTGATTACTGGTGCCACTGGGCTTCTTGGCAGAGCTGTGTATAAAGAATTTAAGCAGAATAATTGGCATGCCTTTGGCTGTGGTTTTAGAAGAGCAAGACCAAAATTTGAACAGGTTAATCTTTTGGATTCTGAAGCGGTTCATCACATCATTCATGATTTTCAGGTATGGTTGTCTGTTTAACACATATATAAACTATATTAAGAATTGTCTATAAACTGTATTAAGAATTGTCTGGATGATTTAGAAAATGTTCTTGCTCTCAAGGGAGTTACTGTACTTAAGCTCTAACCTGTTAAAAGCAGCAAGAGTACACAGTTGACCCTTGAACAGTGCAGGGTTTAGGAGTGCCGACCCCTGCACAGTTGAACATCTATGTATAACTTTTTACTTCCCCAAAACTTAACTGCTAATAGCCTACCATTGACTGGAAGCCTTAGCAATAACATACATAGTCAGTTAACACATATTTTGTGTACGTGTTATATACTGTATTCTTTTTTTTTTTTTAATTTTGTTTATTTATTTGACAGAGAGAGAGACAGTGAGAGAGGGAACACAAGCAGGGGGAGTGGGAGAGGGAGAAGCAGGCTTCCCGCTGAGCAGGGAGCCTGATGCGGGCCTCGATTCCAGGACCCTGGGATCATGACCTGAGCCGAAGGCAGATGCTTAACGACTGAGCCACGCAGGTGCTCCTATATACTGTAGTCTTACAATAAAGTAAACTAGGGAGAAGAAAATGTTACTGGGAAAATACATTTATAATACTGTATTTATTTATTTTTTTTAAATCAGCATATAAGTAGACTCATGTAATTCAAACCCATGTTCTACAGTCAACTGTATAGTGCACTTTTTCTTTTCCTGTAAGCATGGAAAAGTATATGCAGTCCTTAAAAAGACTGGGTTGAAATATAGGTTGACAAAACTTGGAAATTTTATAAAAAGCTTATGTTTGTGAGGTTCTCTTGTTAAGTACAACTTTATATGCAAATGCCTTTTTAATATTATCTGTAAACCTTACAACACTGCGAAGTAGATATTATCATTTCCATTTCAGAGATGACAAAGGCTCAGGTTAAGTAACTTGTTGACCATTGGTGCAGAAAAATTACTGAAAAATTTAGGTTCTGTTCTACCTCTGATCAAATTGAGAGTTAAAGTTCTTTTCAATAATGTCCAAGGGACACCTGCATCAGAATCACTTGGGGAACTTGTTCTTTAGGTCTCACTCCCAGAGATTTTAATTCAGTAAGCCTGTGTGGGGCCCAGGACATTTTAAGATGCACTCCAGATGAGGCACATTCAAGTTTTTTTTTTTTTTTTTTTTTTAAGATTTTTTTTTTTTTTTTTTTT